TGAAAATGCTTCTGACTTAATCAACTCTTCTCTCTGCATTTGGTGTTTGGTGACGATGGCGGCTACTTCAAACTTTTATAACACTGTCTACAGTAAGTCGATGCCGTTGATAAGAATGGATCGCTGGAAATAAGACTTTTGCCAATTTGTCATGTTGAAGGACAAGTTTGAAGTTCATTCATGGCGAGACAATAGTTTCATGACGCCTGAGTGGAAACATGTACACGTCACGTTGGCAGGATCACGTTAGTTTTTGATCGCATCGATATCGCTGAACTATTTTCAAAAACCGTGCCATAGCCCTTTGCATAAATACAGGGCAGGGCCACGAACGCATGCCGACCACATACTTAGAGTCTGCAAGCGGCTACATACAGAAGATCTGACTTATGATGTCATTTGATCTGAAAATCATAAACAGCGTCTTTGTCGAAATTCTGACTTCTTATGATTGCGAGCAAAAAGCAACTGGTATTGTTTTGCACAACGAGGAATTCGTTTGTCTGTGAATGATCTTGTATGACTGCGGATTACATCCATATATTTTTTATTCACTTTTGCACTGCAAGTCATGAAGATACAAGGGAAAACAAAATAATTCGAAAGTGTTTTGCCTTTACTTGGGTATTCTTACGGACTATCAAATTCGTTTTCGAGCTTATAGCATATACACGCCGAATCGACTTCACTATTATCGTAAAATTACCGTAAAATGCATCCAAAGGTGCTGTTTCTCGCAGGCCAACTAGAAAAAGGCATAAACTATTATTAACCAAACACTCATTAACGGAAAACTGAAGTATCTTTTAAAACCATTACTCGCGCTCTTCGCGACAAGGGCTCTCCAATGAAATATTGATTTCCTGTTTACTGCATGCGGCTTCAGCGGTTTCTTTCTTTGCGAGAGGAGTGGGCTCAACAACGAGTACAGAAGTTTTCACCGCTTGGCTGAGCCCAGGCTCAGGGTAAAACTATGTCGTAAATGAATAGTCACCGCAGCAGCCCCGTGCGATGGTCAAACTTGGTTCGTTCAAACTTTTGCCGATAATTCAACGAACCGCTGGATGATGTTAGTGACACTTAAATAAAAGATCAGCTGCCATGCCAACCAGGCAAGCACAGTAATTCCGGTGAGACAAACGTCAAGCGTGGGCAGATCCTACAAACAAACGGGGCCGACATATAGGCCATCGCTAGCTTTACTCGCCACTGACTGGGAGGGCCTTACATTCTCCGGAACGAATAAACCAGGAATACGAGATCGTCAACATCTGTTAGCAAATGCTCAATAATTCTTATGTAAAAAGCTGAAGGTTTTGCTAATCTAGGTAAGGTGAGGATGATGTGACCATATGACCGACATCATACCGTTTTTGATTTCCGAGCCTGCTCCACGTTCAACACAGGTGCGTTATCTTACGGTGGTAGTTAGTTTATGGTTTCTGGTACATGTCATGAGATCATGACAGTTCACTCAAAAGATCAGGTCATCGCAGGTCATGTCATAATAATCTTGAAAATCAAGTTATCTTAACAACCCTGGGCCTCAGTCTTTTGATGTATTGTTACGTTCCATCGACATTTGATATTGTTGGTGAGCAACGGTTTGCGCCGTGAGCTATTGCGCTGCGTGCTAAGCTCCAATTCGTCATAGTAAGCATAAAAAATGACCTTAACATTGAATGTTATTGTGTGATGATGACCCTGAAAGTCAAGTTGTTTTAACAACACTGGGTCCGAAACCTTTGAGATATTTTGTTAAGTTCCACCGGAACTTGATATTGCTGATGATGCACGCATTTGAGTCATGACTCAATGCACACATTGTGTCGTGAATTATTGCATGTTAAGCTCCAGCTCATCTTATGTGAAAATCAAAATGGCATCTCACAATGAAACGTTGGAAGTGTTAACTATTCAAGCGAAGTCATGTAAGGCTGCAGCTTGCCGGGAGGCTGGCCTCTCTCTCTCTCTCTCTCTCTCTCTCTCTCTCTCTCTCTCTCTCTCTCTCTCTCTCTCTCTCTCTCTCTCTCTCTCTCTCTCTCTCTCTCTCTCTCTCTCTCTCTCTCTCTCTCTTTCTCTCTGTCATAGTCTTGGTCTAAGTCAATTTCAAAAGCAGAAGATGCTTAATCACGCTAACTGAATGCGCGGTTTAGGGACTACACTAAAAATACCATGAAATGGTAGCGTTTATGAACTGTTCACATAGAGTGTTCACATACACACGAATCCTCTTTTGTATTGATACTTAATTTACATGTTTGGTCTTTTGACTTAGTGAAACATCAGAGACAGACATATCAAAAGCATGTGGTTCAGAATTATTGAGCAATCTAAACCCCTCGTGTGGCTACCTATCTGCCATGTTGAGCACCATGTCGAGGCGATGAGGCGCACGCGAGCATGTTTGAGGACAAAACCATCCGCATTGCTTGATGTGACCTAGGTCTGAGACGGTGGATACTTGGTCCACAGACGCACAAAATTACATGCTTAGGATGTGCAAAGTGTCCGTATCGCTTGGTACATGTGTGTCACCACCATCTAGACGCATCGTTTCCATGAATTTGAATCAAGATCCGATTTAGAAGAATTTCGGGGTCATTGTGATCTTCGACTTGACCTTTGACATCGGCCAACTATAAATCAACCAGACTGGCATGTGATCAGGGCATATGAACCATGTTGGTGTCGTTGGAGTCAGCCACCTAAATAAAAAGGAAGTGGCAAATGCGTCAGGAAATGCTGGACAATTATATCAGGGGATTTTTAGATCCCTCGAGGGCAAAAAAAAACTAATTTTTAATCAAGTATGCCCAACGCTCGAATGCTATAACATGATCATGCACACACGAAAAATAATATTTTTCAGCTGCTGGACAAATAGAAAATAGTGCATCGAAATCAGTCATTTCTGCAGTTATCGACATATGCGTGATGATCAGGCAATGCTGTTCCGCATTGCATACAGCCACCCCGGTACAGTATACCGTATGCAGTTTGGTGTCGCCATCTCTTGGCCAATCGCGCATCAACGGCGGCGGGCGGGTTCCACGGACTTGTCGACATTGTTAGCAGCAAGGCGATGCATATGGTGTCGCCCGGCTTTCACCCTGACAGGGAGGGTGGGCTCCGCGGGGAATTGAACCCCATACCTCTGGTCACGGTGATGGGTGACCGTCTGTGACAATTTTTTTCATTTTCCGGGGGCAAGAGCGCGGGAAATAAAAGACAGTAGCGGAATGCCCCGCTCCCAGAAGCCTACCAACGCTGGATAGAAGCTCTTCTTGCCCCTTCAACGTCGGAAAAAGGGTGCAGTTTAAACTCAGCCATATGCAAGGTTGGCACCGAAGATCCTGAGAGACTTTTGTGTATTGAGGCATCCAAACGAAAAACGGGATATGTGCATAGCCAACAGGGCACCTCTTGGTTTTAATCATACATTCGGTTTTACCCAAGACGGCACAAGGCACCTCTTGGTTTTAAGCTTACATTCGGGTTTACCCAAGACGTTGGCAAAAAGCAATGTAAATGCAAATTGCACGATCCAATCATTGAATAAACAAATGGAAAAGATACCAGAAGCTTTACTTTATTCCCAAGACAGTCGTCGATTGCTGTTCACCGCGAAGGGAAAAGTATAACGAGAATATCAGAGGGCATACTTTGAAACCTCAAGCTCAGGGTCTAAGGAGTGCGGGTTTTTTGCTGCAACGTTTAATTAGTAGACAAATACAAATACACAATGAGTCAGTGGAGTATGAAACCTTTCTAGATAATCGCTGTAAATCAACATTTTTGTCGGGCGGAGAATGCATAATTTGCCAGTAGCGTGGCCTGAGACGGGATTTAGACTCGTACTTTAACTGCTCCCTGAAAGCCCTGAAAAAGGCTTGAAAGCATTATCTGCAATAATGTCCTGACTATCTTTTACATTATCATCAAACAATGATACGTATATAGTACAACCATGTCACCATGTGAAAATAAAATGATGAACCCTTTCATGTTGATCGCTAAGACGGATCTCTGCGAGCCCCATTGCAAAACGATTTTATGGAAGATGACTGCTGCCAGGGCACGGCATGAAGCCCTCTTCGGTACCGTGAGACGTGAGTACCGTGAGTCCCCGACGGGGTGCCCGCTTGGGACCGCCTGCATCAATGGGAAATGCTCGAAATTCGCATGAAGTAGGTACGTCACAGTTTGGCACAATTTTCTCTTCCTCGTGATGACGTAGGTCTACTGCGGTGCCAACGTGCGAAAAGTATTTTATTGATTTTCGTAAGACAGGAACACGTTTGACATTTAGGAGTACGCACAAAAAGGCAAAGGTACGGTGCCCTAATTACAGACGCCCAATGGTGGTTTGGAAATGACACACTTACCCCGCATGGAAGCTGATAGAACTGCTGATAAGACTGTGCACATCTTTAGAGCCTTCAGCCACCATGCTAGTCATCCATGCATATTCTTGTAGTCTACAGGCATTTCATGTCTCACGAAACAGTGTGCGCGCGATTAGGAGCGATCGGAGCGCGCGTATATATGAAGTAAGCATGTCTTCAACGGCGCTCATAGGTGTGTGGGAATACACGAGCGGGCAAATTACAAACGAATTATTGCCAGCTTTCTCCACATTATGTGCACGACCGAGTGTCACTATGCGCGTTCCAAAAAGACCTTGAGCGTCACGGCGCTTGTCACATGAGGAAATACCTGCTGCGGAAGCTTCTGACAGCTTTTTTCGCTTTTGCCTGATTGGGAATAGCGCATAAATAACGCACAAGCCCTACAGCTTCAGTCACAATTACCCAAATGAGCCAATACAATTGCTTTGCTCCGCATCACCATAGATATAGCGATTACTTGCGTTAAAAACACACGGCCAATATCACCAATGTTAACAACAGGCGCTCCTCTGCGTGCAAAGCTGCGTCGTGCAGTCCGGGCATGCATGCAAACGCTCATCCGCGGCCTTGCGTACCTGCGTGCACGTGCTATCGTTTTCGTGTGAGTTCGTGCGTGTTGGCGCGTGTGTGCGTGTCGGCGCGAGCGGCCGGTGCAGTCACCCACCTGGGTATCCAGGTGGAGCGCTCCGCTCGGCTGTGGTCCTCCTCCTCCACGGGCGACTCGAGCACGGGCAGCGCCGGCGGCCGGCGCGGTTCGGCCCGACCGAGCGAGACCGTGCCCGCCGCTGCCGGTGGGGCGCCGCCGCCCCCGGCCGACGGGCGGCCGGCCGGGGGGCACGTGGGCGCGCGGGGCGCCGCTCGGCCGCCGGGTGGCGCCGAAGCGAAGTCTGGTGGTCGCCCGTTCGGGGCGCCGTTGCCCGGGGAGGCGGAAAGGCGGGACGGCGGGGAGGCGGGGAGGTTCGCGTGGGCGCGGACGCCGGCGGACTGCGCGGTGACGGGCGAGGAAGGGTGTGTGGTGGGGCGGGAGTAAGGCGCGTGCGGCGTCGATGCTGCCGAACTCTGGCGATGCTGATGACCATTGCTCGAGTGCGGGCCGGGAGAGGCAGGAGTGTAAGTCGGGGGACGGCGCCCGAACGGCTGGTGGCCGGGAGAGGGGGATGAGTAGGCAGTGGGATGGCTGTTGGAAAGAGGCGAACCAGGCGAGCTGGAGCTGTAGACGAGAGGACGATCCTTGGAAGAGCGAGGACCAGGAGATGCGGTGTGTGGAGGGAGATATTCACTAGACGCGTGCGGACACGGCGACGGTGTGGGAGTATACACTTGCGCCGTGTAGGTCACATGGTTACCAGAGGAGTAAGCACTGGGAGACGCGGAGGCACAGGCGAGAGGGTGTTCACTCGAAGAGCGGGGACCAGCGGAAGCGGAAGCGTAGGTGGGCAGATGGCCGTCAAAGGCGTGGCGAGCGGAGGATGACGAGCCGAAGTCTTGCACACCCTCGCCGGGGTGGTGCGCGGCGGCCAAGGCGGGCGAGTAGACGCCGGGCGGGCAGGCGCGCAGCGCGCCTGGGGCAGCCGGCGGGCAGCCGTTGGGCAGCAGCGCCAGCGGCGGGGGCGAGGGCGAGCTCAGTACCGCCCGGCGCCCATTGTTGACGGGCAGAGAGAGCGGCGATGAGTGGTTTGAGCCTGCGAACGCCATCCGCACGCCACTCCGGTGAAACGAACGCCGTCAACGCCGCGTGTCAATGATCCGATAGCGCGACCAAACAGTTCGCAGGGTCCCGGCATCTAAATCGCGTTTTATCCACTGCATGACAAATGGACGCAATCTCATGCAGTGGATAAAACATGCTGTTTGAAAATATCCAAACGTCCGCTAATCACCTTCCCACTGAACACACACACATACGCGCGCGCGTGCACACACACACACACACACACACACACACACACACACACACACACACACACACACACACACACACACACACACACACACACACACACACACACACACACACACACACACACACACACATATCGGCGCCTGCGTCACATAGGCCAAGCCACCCGCTTTTTCAATTCCATCCAATCCAAGGGTTTGGTGGAAATGCTTAATAAAAAAGTAGCGGTCTTTGGAATGCTACAGGCTATTGCAGCATTCCGTGCCTGTTGTGAAATCACGTCTTCTCGCCCCGCAAATGGCCACGGTCAGTTGCGGTCGGTCGCTCCCACCCGGCGTGTTTGCGTTGTCGTTTTAGGTTTCATGAAGCAAGTACGTTTTCTCGCTTGTTGATCCAGCAGACAAACCCACCAGCATCAACAGACAGTACCATTACTGTCCGTGTCTGTGCTGTGCGTTCAGCTCCGCGAGCAGACCCTGGGCACGACATTACGCGGTGTAGGTAACCAGGAGTATCCGGTTGAACTCTCGCGAGGGAAGCATGAAGCTCTGTGCGGAAGAAAGACTCACCATCGTAAAGGGAAGCTCTGTGGTGTATGCATCCTCAAAATTACTTACGTAGTTTCTTTTGAGGTTAAATTCTGTCCCCCCCCCCGCGATCAAACAAGAGCTTGGCTGACTCGCGTAGCCTGTTGGACAATGGCACAAGTAATTTCAAGTTTTCGAGCAAGACAGCGCGTTTTAATGGGGCAATGGTGCTCCTTTGTTTAGGAAACAAAAGCCGCCCGTCTGTCCATTTGAGAGCTCTTGAATCCAATCTAAAATGGCAGCGGTCGGTCCATTATAATTTGAGAACAGGCCTCTGTTTGCTTTGCAGTGACATTTAGGAGCCTCGGATCAAATTAACTCGGGGCATGAGGCGTGAGTGCAGCGCATTTACAACGTGATTATGACACGAGTGTTATGGGTCAACCATTTTTTTTTAAAATGTCGCAATGCCTAAGATGAAAAGATAGATGCATGTGCATCCATCCACTCACAGGCCTGTGAAGAAGAGTATTGTGTCATACGTGTACGCATGTAATCTTTGTGAATAGCGACATGCATCGATCATGTTCAGATCATGTACCCATTGCTGAGCAGTGCCGATTGATCCCATACCGATCTTTGTTTCTGTGGGACGGTGCTACGTTCCAAATGCCTATACAGTCACAAACAAAAACGCGTTTGGAAAGCAACTGCATTGTTGAACTCTTAATCGAAGAATAAGCAAGATGAATATCCCACCTAGAGGATCAAGAGATCGCAGATCAAGGTCGCTGCTTCCGTAGCACGCCCTGTACTGCTGCTGCTGTTGCTGCTGCTGCTGCTGCGACTGTTGATGTTGTTGCTGTTGTTGCTGTTGTTGCTGTTGTTGTTGCTGCTGCTGCTGCTGGCAGAGGTACGCCTCCACCTCCCGCTGGCGTGTCGGCGTGATGTTGGCCAGCCGCTGGTCGGTCACCGCCGCCGGCAGCGGTGCCGGCGCCGGTGCCGGCGGCGGTGACGGTGAGCGCCGCCCGGCCTGAGCCGATGCCGTCGGCTCCTGGCAACGGTGCGGTCCCTCCGACGCCTCCTCGCCCGCTGACTCGCCGCCGTCCGACAGGCCGTCCTCCAGCACGGGCAGAAGACGGCCGGTCGGCGGACTGCCCGGCTCGGATATCTCCAGTTCGAGCTCGGCCCAGTCTGGCTCGCTCGGCTGCGGCGAGAGCGTCAGCAGGCGCGCCCGTTCCGGCGGCGAGTCACGCCCGTCCGCCAGCCGGCCCAGCAGGCTGAGTCGCGCCAGCCCGGCCGGCTCGGACGCCTCTGAGCCGTGCGAGCCCAGGTACCCGGACGACGAGCTGGCCGTGCCCGAGCAGATGGTGGCGGCCGGCGCGCTCTCGACCGTCCCGTCCGCGCGCGGCGGCTCGCTCGGCTTGGCCGCGGACTCCAAGCAAGGCGGGCTGTGCTCGGGCCGGTCCGCCGCCGGACCCGCGCCCGCCCACACGGTCCGTGCCGGCGGCGACCGCTCGACTGCTGCCTTCCGTGTGTCGGCCGACGCGGCCGCTCTCGACGGGACGTCGGCGGCTCGCACTGGCTGCGGCTGCGGCTCGGCCGCCTCCACGACCTCCCGGTCCGGTGACGCGACGAAGGCCGAGTCCGACCTGATCCGGTCGGTGCGCGCTTCTCCCCGCTCTGATGGTGGCTCCGTCCTACACGGCGCACTGCTCTCCAGGCCCCGGTCCAGGCTACGCTCCTCACCACGACTCAGGCTGTGTTCCACGCCGCGGTCCAGGCTGCGCTCCTCACCGCTGCTCAGGCTGTGTTCAAGGCCGCGGTCCAGGCTACACTCCTCACCGCGGCCCAGGCTGTGTTCAAGGCCGCGGTCCAGGCTACGCTCCTCACCGCGGCCCAGGCTGTGTTCCAGACTGCGGTCCAAGCTACGCTCCTCGCCGCGGCTCAGGCTGTGTTCCAGACCGCGGTCCAGGCTGCGCTCCTCACCACGGCTCAGGCCGTGTTCCAGGCCGCGGTCCAGACTGCACTCCTCAGCATGGTTAAGGCCGCGCTCTTGGCCCCACTTCAGGCTGCGCTCCTCGACACGGCTTAGGCTACGACTGAAGCCGCCGTTCAGGCTGCACTCCTCACCCCAGTTGGAGTCGCGGTTCAGTCCGCGCTCCAGACCGCGCTCCAGACCGCGCTCCAGACCGCGCTCCAGACCGCGGTCCAGGCCGCGCTCCAGACCGCGCTCCAGACCGCGGTCCAGGCCGCGCTCCAGACCACGCTCCAGGCCGCGGTCCAGATCGCGCTCCAGACCGCGCTCCAGACCGCGGTCCAGGCCGCGCTCTAGACCACGCTCCAGGCCGCGTTCCTCTCCGCAGTCCCAGCCGCGCGCGCCGCAGCCGTCCAGGCTGCGCTCGACGCCGGGCCGGCGCCAGGGGCGCGGCTGCGGCTCGGGCGGCGGCCGCGCGCCGTAGCGCCGCGGCGAGCCCTCGTACTGGGCGATCGGCACGGCGCCGCAGCCGGCGTCGGGCGGCACCAGGTCGCCGATGTCGTCGAACACGACGGTGCCACGCACGGGCGTCTCGCCGACGGTCAGCCGGCCACCAGGCGGCGCAGCCGCGCCCAGCAGTGAGGTCTCGCGCAGCGGCCGCAGCCCAAGCACGGCCAGGTCGAGCGAGTCGGAAGCTCCGGCGCGCCGCCGCTGCCGGCCTGGCCGCGCCAGCCGACTCCGACTCGGCCGGCACGACTCGCGGCCGGCCGCCGACTCGAGCCGCGAGTCGCGCGGCGGCCCGGCGCTCGAGTCCGAGTCGGGCTCGCTGGTGGGGTCGGCGCCGGGGCGTCGCGGCTCGGGCGCCAGCGCGGGGCTGTCCAGGTGCTGGCCCAGGGGGGTCGGGTTACCATTCATGTCGCAGTGCGGGGCCGATCTGCCGGTGGCGCTGTCCGTGGGAGATGCTGGCTGCGGTGGCCGGTTGGCGTTCACATCTGCACGCTGACTGGAGGCCGGGCGCGAGCGCACGTGACACTTGGGGAACAGCCGCTGGATCCTGGCCTCGTTACAAGTCAGCAGATCGTCCATGCCGTGGCGTCATGCTCGGCGAGGATCCACTCGCCACTGACGTCTGGCGGAGACATGGCGAACTGTGAGGACAGACGCGGCGGCAGAACGTTGACGCAGATGCAAGCCACGGTGTGTCACGGATCATAATTGCTAACTAGACGTATAGGCATGGAGACAGAAGTGAACAGTCGGTGAGGAGAGGTTTCATGGCTTTCAGCAAGCGGTGATTTTTCTTGTCTTTTTCATATGTTCACGCTTTTCTAAACACGGCTGTTGCCATGCACATCAGGTGGCAATGGCGAAAAAATGTCTGCTGTCACCGACAAAATCTGGAACAGCCTAGGATATTATATTGACACTTGCAGCCAAATCTATCACGAGTCGTTCCAATATAGCTGTAAATTCCACAAACCACGCAAAACAAAGATTAATGAAATGCGATGCGTTGCAAACACCATAAATGTTTTTTTTCTGAAGTTTCATTTGCACTCAAGAATCATTTGCTGGCAAAGACAAAAGTACTGCTGGTTAGGTGTAGGTCTTAGTGCGTGAGTGGCCGGCGCAACGGGCTCGAGGTCGATGGACACGTCGGTTCGGTTCAAACCTAAGGCGTCGCATGTACGGAGCTGGGCGAAAACATGTTTGGTCAGCGGCCGTATGATAGCTATAAATGGCACATAACAAGTTCCATGTAATATCTTTCGACATACTGGGGCAATGTCAGCGATGAAGAAAGAGCTACTGCAGGGTTTAATCCATTCACAAAATAACTCTTTACCACTTTACTATCAGTTGTACACTCTTCTTGATGTTATAAATTGCGTTCCCTTACGCTGATAATTGTCGTGTTTTTTTCATATCACAGCTATGGCCTGTGTCTATAACTGCAGCGTCTGAGACCAATTTTCACAGTATTCCATTATGTTTAAAATCCGGATCCGCATTTACAAACCGCGCCTGGGAAATTTTTGCTCCCAAAACCATAACCACCAATCCAAAATCCAACACTGGTAACCTATTTCATGGCCCGGGTTTAATAGACGGCGGGTCAATGTCTATGTTACCAGCCGTGCTCTGCAAAATTGGCTGATTATTTCGGATTTCGACCGCAGCGACTGCTTCGTTACATGCCGACCATCTTTAGTAGTGGTGTTTCCAAACTGAGAAAAATGGAGCCTCGGGAAAAATAGCGGTGGATGAAGCTCAACGACATTTCACGATTGACAACTAGCTGCATGTTATTAGGTCAATATCAACCCTATTAGATCATGTCAAAGGCCAAATTTTTCTGAAGATCTAAGCTTTTTAACAAAACATGTCTTCATGTACGAGATCATGCCGTATGACGACACGGAACTTAAACAAGCTTGTTTCTACACAAATTTATGATCAATGATGCAGGGATCCGTTAATGTTACGGTTTCGGCACATTGCGCACGGCCCGCGGAATTGTCGCCTGCCGCCTGTCGTCCGCGCCAGCCGTGGATCCCCGTGCAGGGTTACAACCATGTTGCTACCTCTTTTAAGTTGGCACACACCCCTGTCTCTCCGCCTATCGTCTTCTTCATGGCTTTGCCACGCGGAATCACGCAGATCATAGCATCAAAACTGTGACACGGCCTTTCTGGAAAATTAGCATTTTCATCTACGGTCAGGATGGACAGCCCCTGGTACCTCCAGATTTTTGGAATCCTCAGAGGTTCCCACACTGCATAGAAAACATTCATCATGCCTGAGCGATGCAAGCACTGAATGCATGTCATTAACTATGCCACGTCCGCCAGCTAAATATAGGCAGCGTGGTGTGGGCGGCGTGCTAGAAGGAGAACAGCTCACACGCTCCAGATGGCAGCTGCGGTTGTGGGAATTCCAAAACGGATAGGATAATTTATGGTTCGGTAAGCTATTTTGGTTTGCATTAAACTTACCGTGGCGAAGCCGGTTGCACTTAACTGACGTTGAGTTACATAAGGTAGCAGTACTCAATGACACCATCTAAAGGTCGACAAATTGGACGGCTGGTAAACACGCAGCGTACGGCGTAAGTAATGCCTAATGCATCTCTTCGTGTCGTACCTCCCCCATGCCATGAAGCGATGTAGAGACGTAGATGAAATTATCCTCAGCGGGGGCAAATGTCAAGCTTGGTCCAAACTCCTGTGATTTTAAGCTCAATTCCTGCGACATCGCTCAATATCTAGCATCAACTTTTCGACTAATGGGGGGGGGGGGGATGGACCGTACCATTCGTTGGTTCTGTTCCTGCGCTCATCGGTGCAAAATGCGGCTGAAAGGTGCCGTAGAGTCTACGCCAGTTTCTATTGAGATTAGCCCAATTCTAACATTTGGACGTTACATGGTGTTTGATTTGACAAATTTACCGCACCACCTTTTTCTCGGCGTTCTCCACCAGTGTCTACGCCATGAGTTGACATGATATGGGGCAAATATATACTAAGAAACCTCCGAGCAACGGTTCAAAGAGTTCGCCCGCGGCGCAGTCGGCTGTTGGAGAGGTTAGAAGACAAATTATGTGAGAAAAATGAGGACAGCATTCGGAATCCCACCGGACTCTTCCTGGCTGTCGACGTCACGGTCATGTAATTTTAAAAGCACGGTAAAGCGCTTAGTTTGTGTTTCTGTCAACTGTTAAACACGCATTTCAAACGCGAGAGATCACTTTATCACAAATGTGTGTCCAACACCCCGAACAGCGAACGCCGTTTTGCAAGCCTTTCGCCGTTTACGGCGGTTCGTCCCAGCATCCTGTTTTCATCCGCCGCGCCTGCTGATTAATTATTCATAGGTCCCAGCTGGCAAGGCTTGCCGGAGCGACCGCCAAGCGCCGCGACACACCGGTGCTCGAGACCGAGCACCCGTCGGCGTTGGCGACGGAGCGTCCCCTAGCGTCAGCGCAGGCGGGCCGCCGCCCGTCACCAAGCGGTCGCCCCGCCCCGCCCCGCCCCGCTCCCTCAGGTGCCCGGCGCGGCATGGCGGCACGTCGCGCCTCCCCACCCTGTGCGATGGAGCACACGTCTAGCTACAGCAGGCCAGGCTCCTGCTGAGATAAATTGTTGAGTGCGCACCAACGTGCAAAGTTCTGACGCCGTGTGGAGTTTATTTGTGGTTGTCCAGAGCCTCCACGGGCAGGTACGTGCACGGGAAATGGTTGGAGACACAGCACCGCTATGGGCTCTGTCATACAGCAATGGTTCGTGAGAGGGCTCGTCTCTGTCCTCTCTCCGATTCACCACCGTGGGCCACCATGAGTGTCCTTGGAGTTTGCCGGTAATGTACTAGCTGACATGTTTGAATCAAATTATGTTTATTTGACTGCTCCGTGTTACAACACATTTGCACGAGCCGCCAGGTACTACGTTGACTTTCGCAGCGTACACCGAACGAGATGTAGAGAATGTACGTCGAAGTGCAGTATTGCTGGTCTTTGGCGGGGAACACATCACTTAGCTCCCATACAAACATGCGTTATAAACACACCTCATATATTATCACACCGTTTGGCAGGCCACATAGAGAGCATTGTGCTGTTGCAGCTCACCATGACTAAAATATTAATGCGCTAAGTTTTAAGGCCATATGCTTGATGGCTAGCGTGACGTCATGCTGTCGATTTCACAAGTCAGGTTATCGACGGTACCGCAGGGCGCAGAAAAACGTCTTCCCGGTGTGCGAAGACACATCCCACCTTCACCCAACGCACCTGACCTCATATTCCTTCTAACGTCCTATCCTGTACCCTCTGCAATTTACACTGCATCTCTAGCGGCAACAAATCCGTAAATGTAACCGGTATATATTTTTATGTAATTTGTCATATATATGTACATATATATATATATATATATATATATATATATATATATATATATATATATATATATATATATATATATATATATATATATATATATATATATATATATATGCAACAAAGTTGTTGCAAATGGCAGTGCGATTTTTTAGCAATATCTTC